AGATCGAAAGGCTCTATAATTGGCGCTAGAATAGTCATAGGCCTCTATGGAACTCTCATAGGCGGGTTGTAGACAGGGTTGTCCTCTTGTTGTAGTCGGTCAACCTCCGCAGCCGCATCCGTCCTCGCAGGACGCGTTTCAGGCACTTCCAACGGGTTTTTTTGCTTTTTTTTTCTAGGCCTAGGCGATAGAGACCTTTCTCTATCATCGAACCAAACTTTAGCTGTGGAACGCGTTATGAGCGTCTCATGGTTGGCTAGTTATAGTGTTGACAGCTGTCAGGGACGGAGTAAACAAACCTTAAATTGCAGTGCCAAGACCAAAACGTAGCAAGTTGGCTGCGGGGGACATAAAGGAGAAGACTAATACAAGGTGTACGAGAGTTAAAATAAACTCAAATAAAGCCTTTTCCACTATCGAGGAGGTCAAGAGGGCTAAACTACAGGCAGAGCAATGTTAGGAGCAATGGGATCAATAGATAGGGCTAGGCAGGCAGAACTCTTGTCCAAGGCATTACAGAGGACTTAGTCTATTTCGCGAATCTATGTATAGAATGACACGTTAACGATATTACTAACGCTGTATAAGACGCTTAAATAGATATCATGGTGGTTGGGGAGAGTGGTTCATTATATTGGTGGTTCATTACATGGGTCGTTCATTATATAGATGGCCGACTTGTTTAGGAGAGCTTTTAATGTGGGTTATGTACGCTCTTAAGTCTATCTTTGAAGTATTTCTCCCTCAACTCTCTCCACGCTAGATAGTGTAGAAGAACGTGAATGACTATTTCAAGTTCCTAGCTATTATAAGTTAAACACTATAGACTGTCGATTTCCAGGATCTTTCTATCGAACAGAAAAGTTTGAAAACCAATCTTATCTATTCTCAGCTAGATCATCAGCGAGAACTGTGGTCGTTTGAGCTTATGATGAAGTGCCATAATTTCTTGTCTAGTGTTGGTTGGAGGACCCAGCTATAGGCCCCTTGTATACCCTTCTCTCACCTCTCTCTCTATCGCTATTGATAGTCAGCATAAATTACTCTTCTGGCCTCTTCCTGCACCTCCGCCGCTGTCCGATCTGAGTTGTTCGGTCTCTGTAACGGCGTTGACGAGATACTGGTGATCTAGGCTTCGATGTTTTGAAGAGGGCCTCAACGGGATCCACGATGGATTATTGGTCGAACTTCGACACTTTGAAGGGATATGAAGATAGTTTATCTATAATAATCGAGAGATTAGCTCTATAATTGAACTGGTCTCAATCAAGTGATTCTCAATTCTAATACGGGAATGTAGAATACCCTTCTGTGAGACATTCGAGATTGTAGCAGCTTGGGAAATTAAAAAACCTACATATTGAATCGGTTAACATACTCTTGGACATGGTTGGTGCATTGTGCGAAGGTGCATTTCTCTGTTTCCTACATAAATCATTTCTTTCTATGACCTCTATCTTCAGGCGTAACGAAATCACATAGAGCTTTTACGGAGACTGTCCCTTCCTCTGATGAGAATCCCGACTCGGTCATAATACCGTTTTGATGAAGACCTCCTTGGATCCCTTGACTTGAAGTGAAATGGTGCTCTCATTATCTACAACAACATATTCTGGCCATGGAGGTTCTGAAGGCGCAGCACGACAGAGTCCCAAGGTTCCTTGAAGCTCGTATTTTCTCAAAAGCTCTGCGAGGGCTGGAATAATTTCCAGACTAGGGTTTATATACGGTGTCTAAAAAGCTCGTAGGGCAGAAAGTCTATGGGTATTCTTTATTCTCAGCCAGGCTTTGACAATAAGAATGTCTCCCCGATCGGAAGCAAACAAAACTTCAGCCCGCCGAGTCTGGTAAGAGAAAATGCCACTTTGGCACAGGGGAGTGGTCAAGAACTGAAAAGGGTGGATACAAAAAGGCAAGGACGTCTTATGTCTGCTTGTCCGCATTGTTAGACCAAGGATTGAGGAGTGAGAACTGGAAAAGGAATCCCAAAAACATCCATCGCAGCTTTCATGTTACAACATACAAGTTTACTAGGCTTACTTCCCTCAGTCGGGCCCGCGCCCCGACATTCCTTATTTTACCAACACCATGAATTCACTCCTTTTACTATATTTCCGCCTATATCATCGGCCTCATCCTAGGGGTTGGACCTCGCCGACGACCGATGAAGCGCGGCGGCGACCGACGCTGCGGCGGTGAATCCCGATGCAACGACGAAATTTCCTTCAACAGGAGGGTAAACTTACGCTAGAAGACGACCTCCTAGTCCTCGAGGCCAGACTCGTCAATGCATCCTATTTGGACCCCAGACATTGCCTATTCCTGCGTGTTGCATAGCATTTCAGCTCAAGCTAGGTCGAAAGAATGATGCCATAAAAGGATATGACGAGCTCTAAGCTAAGTTGGCTCTCATTATTCGACTAGAGGTCCTTAAGCATATATTCAGTCGTCTTATTTATGAGAAATCCTTGATTTCTGCTTTCACCTTGGTTTGCCCTGTCAGAGAGACAACCGGACGCGCCTTCCAAATCCCAAAACATGTCTTCGCAAGACCCTCATGAAGACACAAGCCCCGGTCCGCAAGAAGAAACGGAATGACCGAATCCCCGTCAGACCCAATTTGGAGCGAGCTTGTTGAGCTCATTGATACGGCCAATATAACCACGTGCAATTTTACGAAGCAACATCGACAAACACTGGCTTGGATTCCATCCTCCCAGTCGAGCCCGAGATCGCTGTGACGATAAGATTTGAAATTGGTGATGCCGAAAAAGCTCAGTCATCTTCTTTGGCAGATGAACTCGAGACTAATCTCGACGGTGAATGCGAGACAAGGCCAGGGCAAGACGACGCTAGATCAACTGCTCAATGGAATTCAGGAGGGCGAGGACGACTCAAGCGGTTAGCTACGACAAACCTGAACCTCCGACGGTTTCTGATGTCACTGAGAAATAAAACTTCCTCATCTTCTACTTGAAAAATATCCTTTCTCTTTTCCTACCATGAGAGACAGAATGGTAGATGGAGGTTGAAGGGACATGATCACAATTGGGTGTCAAAAGCAAGTCCCCGTCGTGCCGGAAGAACTGTTTTGCCGATCGAGAGTGACAAAATGTTCACGTGATAATTGGTATGAGTCATTGTGATTATTTTTGCGCCAGGACATGTAAAGACACCCGTCTAGGGGTATCGTCTCGAGACGCTAATACCCTTGACGGTATCGGTTCGAGGGGCCCTGTACAAGGTCGTACGCCCTCGAACCCTATATAGTCTGACAGCCCCTAGACCCCCTCGTGGAATGACAAGTTCTCTTTCACAATCACATCATGAGAATTCGTTGGGTTTCAAATTTAGCTAAGTTACCATTCGATCAAACCAGGACGTGTACTCTGCCCAAAGGTTGACGATATGCTTGGACTGCGTGGGCAATGGATGATCACAGGCAAAGGTTGCGGCAGAGTGGCTTCCTAATTCCGTTGCACCAAGATATTGGATGACTCGAAGCCACTCCTGGGAAGACACGACACAAATGATACTGAACGGTCAAGAGGCACAAATATCCCAGCTCACTTACGTCGCAAGGTGTAATGCATGCGTGTTCCTGAATGCACTGTCCTGAATGTAGTGACTGGAATGATCTGGTGGTCATGTCGACTTATTGGGGATCTACCCAGCACTCCGACAGATGACACAATTGGCGATCCTTCCAGGCTTGAGAACGCGATTGCGTGCCTTTAGAGTTGCGTGCTGGATCACGCTCGAAACGAATCTTCATGAAGTGGCACTGGCCCGTTTGTTTCCTCGTTCTGAAAGCTTTGGATCTGACCTGTTCAGCAGCTTCCGGTGGTCGTGGTTTTCGGTGCCTTGAAACTCAAATTTCGCTGCTCAACCCAGAATACAGTCCCTCTCGTTATGTCAACTTACTTGACCGGTATGTCAGAGGCGCAAAGCCCAATTTGACAAAAAGGATTTGGGTGCACTTACGGAGAACGACGAAGGAGCAGGGGGATAATGGCCGAGCTTAAGAATAAACGAGTAATCAGATGGATGTTCCTTTGAACGTCAGCAATATGTCTTTCGACGGAACGGTCGATCCATCCAGTGTGACAAATGGATGTGTCTCTCAATGCATCCATGGCTACTTCCGACCTCAGATCTGGCTCGGGGTCGTCGGAGCATCCGACAAGCCAGATGAACAACATTGGGGTTATCCAAGAGTCAGGTCAGAAGCCCGAGCAATCACTGACTATCGAGGGTCAGCGTCCTATTTAGCGGAAGGACGTGGATCAGAATGTCGCCAAAGACGCAGGAGAACAATCACAGACCATAGTGGTGTCGACTTTGGGCAGAGGTTCCGGGCAATACTTTGCTGCCAACTCGGCCACTGACAACTCCTTGTCACCTTCAATTTGTCTCACTCAACGAAGACGAAAAGTGGAAGAGCTTCGGGAATCCCTGAAGGAATGTGATTTGGCGCCCTAACCAATGTCTAGGGCCTGGAACGGCCTACGGATGCCCGCTAATTAGTCACGTCGAAAAGATCTATTATACTGCCGATCCTGCAAGGTTGCTTTTAGTATATTCTAAGCTTAGTAATGAATTGTACACTTTGTTTAGGGTCTTATTTAAGAGTCTAAAGGGCAAGGAGTAGTTTGGTTTCTTTCAGAGTGGATTCCAACTTTTTAATGGAGTAGTTATAGAAGAAGTTGAAGATAGAAAATGTGTGAAAGTGGCCGACTCGCTATGCACTTACGTTGTTGAGGATGCTAAGAAGTGTTGGCACCTATTTAAATGTGTATTTTCACCATGAATACACGCCAGAATAATGTTAGACCTTGATGGTTTTCAATAGGTGTAGCCAACTTGGTGCGAAGGCTAAAGAGCCTGAGCGAATCCATCAGCTTACCTGCTTTCCCAAGGCCTGTTCTGTGGAAGACTTCGCGACCTAACGCCCATATAATAACTGACATAATAAATTGGCATACGGCTAGTCATGCTTCTCAATTCCGTCCGGAGTCGCTGTGCTGCGTTCTCTTCGTCACGTTGACGAGGACGCTTTGCGTAAGGTCACTGATACCAACACTGTACTGGGCTGGCAATTTCCCTACGAAGGACCCATTTTCTGCCCTTCCCTGCTCTGTAGGATCTGCGAGCTCGAAGTCGAACTCCGCAAGGATCGCACTGGCAACCATGTTCATAATAGTCAGCGCAAGCGCCTTGCCAATACACTGCCTACTGCCCGCCGAAAAGTGCATCAAATACTTGTTGGTATCCAAGGCGTCTGTATGTCGGTCTTGCCAACGCGAAGGCTTAAACTCCACAGAATCAATACCCCAAACACCGCTTGCGTGATGAAAGGCATGGTTGCAAACCGCGACAGATGTCTTCAGTGAAGCCTGAGCGTCAGCATTGAGTTTTCATCTTGGAACGGACACACTCACCCCTTGTGGCAGAACCTCGTTGCCCACCCGGAGACCTTCGCGATCCACAACGTATCTCGGCAAAGGCTGTGAGAACACAGGTGTCAGACGAAAGCTCTCTTTCATACAGGCTTTCAAGAAAGGCAGGCACGCATCGACCTGCGCAGATGTGAAACCCTCCTCGAAAGAAGAGACAGTGAGTAGATGCTCATCAATTTCTTGAGCAACGCCCTTCATGACTTTTGGGTTGTGTAACAGATGCCAAAACAGGACATTCAAAGACGCACTCGGAGGGTGTATACCGGCGACCCTGCACTAATTATGTCAGATCACGAGGTGATAGCAAATAGGCTTGCTTACAAAAAAGCGAAAACCTCTGCAACGAGCTGGTCCATTGACATTGTCTCCTCTGACTTCTCCGTGGGATAGTAGACAGTCTCAAGGAGCCGTAATAGGGCATCCTTGCGACGCTTAGGCTGTCCGTCTGACGATTGCTTCAATCGCTGATATATCCTGTCTCTGACTTCGTTGATGTAAGACAACGTGTTGCGCCATCGTTCCAGCTTCCAAGTCCTAGGATGCGGCAGCAACAGAACGATAAGATTTAGGAAAGGCTGGACAAGTGGCCAGGCACCGCTAACTGATGCCAACATTGACATGCTGTGGTCATCTGCGAATCGATGAAGTTCACCGCTGTGCTGGACATTATAGTCGTGACTGAGGAAGAGGTCTCCGATGATATCGCAGACACATGCATAGATTGCTTTTGATAGATTGAGAGTTTGGGGCCTGTCGCAATGAGTTCCGATATGTTCTCGGAGTCGGTTGACGTGGACCTTGATGATGGGCTCGTACGTCTCGACGATCTGCGGCGAGAATGTCTTTAACAGCAAACGACGTCTGACCGCGTGCGCCTGGTAGAAATCAGTGAGCGTCTCTCGTTGCAGGATTTAGGGTCGCCATACCTCTGGGTCGCGCTCGTTGAAGACGTTCGGAAACTGCGGATGACCAAAGGGTGTGTACCAGTTCGTCTTCACCAGGTTCTTTGCTCCCTTTATGTAGATGGCTTGTATCGCCTCGGTTGATACGGTGCTGATCTTGTTCGGGCCATACCGTACGAAAGGCCCATATTCGGCGTGGAGCTTGGCGAGTCGATACGGTGTCTGTCCAGGGATCCAATACCAAGCTTCCCAAAGGTTTGTTAAGCTGGCCAGAAAGGGGCCCGGATAGCGAGCTAGCGGATGCCAGTAGCGCTGGTAAACAATGTACAGAACCAATGAGAACAACAGACCAACAATCAGTGTAGGCGTCGACAAGCTTACTATCGCAATGCCCATTTCGCAAGGAGCAAAGTTTAAGAAGATTCAGATGCAAAGCCTTCGTGCAAGGGCACAATAGATTCAACCATACCAACTGGGCGAGCTAAGTATGGATTCAAGTACCACGGTGAGCCAGGGATATTGACCCAGATGTGGGTCTGCATCGGCATTCCACTGACAACGCCTTTGTGAAGGTGGGGTAGCCCGACTTGGGCCGCCCACAAAAGGGGCTGACCCGATATGTTCTATGCATCTGAGGGAATCTTCACCGGCCAACACAAAAGCATGTGGACACCCGGTACGGCCAACCTTAGCCTCGTCGGAAAGACTCGTTTTCATCAACGTTGCTTTTATTGAACGAAAGCTTTGGATCATAGCATACTGTATAGTTTATGGAATCAAGAAAGGGACTATTGAGACCAAAGCTTTGGTAATGGTACAATCTTACGTAATATAATTCGCCTCATGACTATCCCTCAGCCTGAGCATGGTAAAATCTTTGGACAGCATAGCACAGCATAAAGAAAATTTGCTGTCCAGATCTCGAGACAAGTAGTAGATAAAGGAGTCCCTGGGTGAGAGATCTATTGACCCAATCACTCGACTGCAAAGGGCGATTACGCTGGACGGTTTGAACGCCTTTTATGGGTATCCGTAAGCCAGTCTCTGCCCATCTTGGTGACCGTGTGACTTTTCAGATACCGAGATGGGTCTCTGAGGCAACAGGCAATGCCAATGGTAATCACGCCAAGGACATTGTGCGGTAGAAGACCATTGAAACGCACGAGCGTAGACCTGGCTGAATGCCTGCACTGTAGTTTGTTCTATAGCTGGCGTGGTCCCAGGGACGGCGGCAAATGCCTCTGGTGCGCCGAAGACTGCATTGGAGGTCGCCGGAATTCAGGAGCTCCAACTCAGCGGGGCCTAAGCCGTGTGACAGAGCGGTGTTCGCAATCGTATGACCTAGATCTCTCTTAACTACACCTTGGAGGATGGTGTTGAAGACTGAGTTGCCAATTCGCCGCTCACGCTTCGGAAGGGCCCGATAAGACCAGTGACGAAGCCGAGACGTCGAAGCAGAACATTCAGAATAGTGACCCCGTAGAATAGCAGTGCGAGATAAGCGAAGGGCCCGGCTGATAAGCCCTGTGAGGCCATCCAGGCTGCTTTGTTGGAAGTAGCTCCGGCAAATGCAGCTGGAAGGACGGTTTGTAACGGAGCAGGTGACAGCAAAGACAAACTGCAAGGCCTCTCAGCTACTTCTGATGAACATTTATCCCATGACTTACTTGAATGGCAACATTCGGGATTGCAATTACTTCACTCTCAATGGGATTACTGGTGAACAAGTAGAGTGAACTTTGCGGGAGCAGTGGAAGTAGGGAGTAATAAAGACGCCCGGTTCTCTCATATGAGCACCAATGAGTTAGAGAGGTAAACTTACCCGCTACAACCACACCGATGAGCTGGAAGGTGAAGTCTCGCACTTCTTTCATGATTACCTAAGGGAACAACGGCATGGCGTTTCCTTTATGCACGGATACTACACATGGTGCCATTACAGACTCTTCCATGTACTTTCTGGTTGGCAAGCAACTCATCCCCAGATGAGGGCGGCACGAAACTCACTCCTGATAATGATTCAGACCAACCCAGTGAAGGCACGGCAGGGTTGTATCTACACGCTCATCACATTTGCGATCCTGCGGACGGAAAAGCCTCTTGAACTTCATGAATCGTTGTGTATGATTGCGGCAGTGCTCTACATCTGTATATATGATATCTTGGCTGATGCGCCTACAGCTGGCCACATGTAGTCAGATCCCGCCGAGGCGATCTTGACTCTGCGTATGAGGACTCAGTGAACATTGCCGCGTGCACCAAGTGGATATCCTCTGAAGGTCTAGCAGGAATCTATGTTCCAGGCGTTGGCTTCCTGATAGCGAGACAGGTCCTACCAAATTACTGCATGAGTTTCGTCGCACGTTACAAAATAGATATGAGTGGCGCGGATTCTGTCAACGCCTTGCCAGAAATGCGCAACAGCTCATTGACGGCCAAAATCCACCTCTAGAAAGAGACTGAAGACCCTCACCAATGCGAGTACAGAGCCGTCCTGATTTGCCAAAAGCGCATTCATCCACAGCAGTGGTCACGGCTGTGGGGTTGATGTCCAGAGCTCTGGTGCCTCGTCGATGACTTTTCGATTGAAGAGACCGGCCACACAAGTTAAATATCTGAAGATCAAACGTCACTGAAGCGGACTATATCATCATCTCCCACGCTCATTCTGACCAGTAAGTAGAACAGTGTCAGCTCCAGGTCGTGATTCCTAGCGAGCAATGTTGACGCTGGTACTTCTGGCTTGCCTGGTACAGACAAGACTGCCAAACATACAGGCACCATTGTCGCCGCAAGGTGCGAAGTCGTCAACATGCTTGGCAAAGCAAGAGTATCAGATAGTCAGTCGATGGCCATTCAAATAGATGAGCGAGTTGCGCTCTCACCAAAGGCGTCTTGAAGACAGGCATTAGCAGGCACGAAATCTGCCAAACCGGGCCCACCTGGTGCACCGTTTCAGCCACATCCTGACCACGCGTCTCTTGAAGTCAACGTTTGACCGGCTCTCCACTGCCTCCTACCAGGTCACGATCAGATCCCTGAGATAATGAATACCGGCACCGTTTTGGACAGATTCGGCTCACCCTTTCGTTTGTGTGATGGATGTGAACTTTGGATGAAGCGTGGCCTCATGTGATTTGACGAAATTGTTCTTGCAGTATACAGGAATGCAGGAATGCAGGAATGCGCTCCTTCATCAGCTACGCCAGGGACTGAGACTCCCAGCTCTTCTCAGGCCAGGACGGTGGTCAATTGATGTATAACACACACCTCAGAGAGAACACGAGAACACGACATTGCAGTGGAGTGCTCACCTGGGTGGATACGAAGGCATCTTCCGCTCCTACAGCCATTTAAACCAAAGGACGCTATTCTTGACATTGCAGGAAGAGTAAACCACGATGGGAGGCTGCACAGCTCCATTCTACCCTACTATACCGACACAGGAGCTGCTACGCAGGCGGCCACTCCGAGACTCAGTCACTGGTTACTTCTTTGAAGCACGCCACAAAGTACGAGTTTAAGTTCTGAATGGGTATAGCGGGGCTACCTCCTGGCATCTTGCGAGTGACTGGCCGCGGCCCGACGCCTCGATTGTATTTCTGGCGCCGAAGGGAAGCAACGGACCCTGCTGTGCTGACGGCTTCTGACTATCGAAAGGTGAGAACCCAGACCTTGTGGGGGAGGCCGACGACCAAACTCCCACGCAGAGCCCCACTGGGCGGACTTCCCCACGATGTGACCCTCCGCTCTGCTGATGGGGCCGTCTTGTTCCCCAGACACTGTGGCTACGGCTTTCACAGGCCAGACAACCACAAGGCGTAGGGCGCTTATTAAACAGATTAGACTGTAGCTTGCATAGCTTCGTAACCTCGGTTGCTATAAACTAGAAGATAAAAAGTACATGGCTGCCATCGCTGCGTTTTTGGTTTCCATAAGTAGTTGTCGCCTCAGTCTTCTACTGTCTTGGCTCCGATCATGGCCAACTACAGCGTCGCCGACATAGCAGTCCTACACACGCCATCATGCGCCCCGACACTACCGCAGGCGAACTACGATGGCATATACGAAGAAGCTATCGTCCTCCCATCTGGGCACAGAAGGACACCGCAAAATCGGGCGTTCGATGTCGCCACGATCTGGGAACGCGACGTTGCCTTCAAGACTCGTGAAGGCCTCATACTGAGAGCCGATGTGTTCCGTCCAGAATTCACCACTGCTCAGATCCCAGCCTTGGTAGCATGGAGCCCCTACGGAAAGTCTGGTACCGGTAACAACCTCCACACTTGGCGTGACTGTCAGATGTACTAGGACTGATGAGTCTCCAGGGTCACTCGACCTTACCGTTGTACCTGGCCGTGCAGGTATCCCGATCGGCATGGTGTCGGGGTTTCAATCATTCGAAGCCTTCGATCCAGCTGAGTGGGTCAAGTATGACTACGCAGTGGTCAACGTCGACGCGCAAGGCATTCTGTCATCGGAAGGCCATCACAAGTGGGTGGAATCCAGCGCCGACTGCCACCACTGCCAATTATTATCATCGCCCTACTAACTGTTTCTCAAACAGGTGGCACGGCTCAGCTGAGGGTCGTGATGGATATGACATCGTCGAAGCCATTGCCGCATTACCATGGTGCAATGGTCGAGTCGCGCTGATGGGAAACTCGTGGTTGGCTTCCGCACAATGGTTCATAGCCTCAATGCGACCACCGCATCTGACTTGCATCCTACCTCTGGAGGGATTGAGCGACGTGTACCGCGAATCGTTGTGCAGAGGCGGAGTGCCGTATCTGCCGTTCTGGACGTTCTTGGGCTATAATCTTTTTGGTGGGTCAGCTCTAGCCGCATATGGTATTTTGGGCTTACCAGAGGGAAAACAAGGTCACAAGCCTAGGGAGGATACCATTGCAATGATCAAGCAACACCCACTGATGAACGGATACTGGGCGGACAAACGCGCACAGGCACACCTTATCGATATTCCCGCATACATTCTGGCTAGCATGTCCACCAGTCTACATACGGTTGGCTCTATACGATGTTTCGAGGATATCCCCCATCAGAAGAAATGGTGCGTGCTTGCTCTTCTCCACCTCATCTGCCGAGGCTTCTGCCCTTTGTCTGGACATCACAACACTAAAAGGCTATGATCAGGCTTCGCATGAATGCGACACAGGAATGGCACGACCTCTACCAACGGGAGACCGTGGATGATCTTAAAATGTTCCTGGACTTCTACACCAAGGATGTACCCAACGGCTGGGAGCAGACACCGCAAGTGCGTATATCGGTCCTGCGCTACAATAAGGTAGGATGGATATATACCCGCTCTCCCTCCTTTGTCGTGATTTTCTGGCCATTCAGACAAGCTGCCTGCGTTGCGAATTTGTTTCGGTCTAACGAGATAAATAGCCCGCGATCACTAACGTCCCATTTACGAGCTGGCCAATTCCCGCAACCGTGCACCAAGAGCTATACCTCTCCCAAGGAAGCTCGCTCGTCACCACGCCAGTCCCAACAGTCGGTTCGCAAACTTACCAATCTGATGTGCCCGCCTTGCAGACGGATGCCGACTCAGGGTTTACTGCATTCACTCACACGTTTGCGAGTCTCACCACCCTCATTGGACCATCCCGAGCTGTCTTGTACATGTCTTGTGAGGAGCACGACGACATGGATGTGTTCGTCATCTTGCGCAAGCTGAACGCGGCCGGTGAAGTCTTACGAAACATCAACATCCCCGTCCAAGACCTTGTCGACATCCACTCCGACGTTCAAGTGCCTCTCATCAACACGATGCAATACATAGGTCCGTCCGGTGTACTACGCGCAAGCCATCGGCGGCTGGATCCCGAGCTGACCAAACCCCACTGGCCTGCTCATGACCACAGTGTGGAGGAAAAGGTCCCACCCGGTAGTATAGTGAAACTAGAAATCGGCTTATGGCCCGCAGCCATCCAGTTCGAAGCTGGAGAGTCTCTCTCATTGAGAATTGCAGGTCACAGCATGGTCCTTGCCGAGTTTGAGCCACTGCGGGGAGCTTTTCAGACGGGCAACGTGGGCAAACACGTAGTACACTTTGGCGGCGATTACGAGAGTAAGCTGATTTTGGCTCTTGTTGATATTTGAGGTGTGGCTTCGGTGAAATTTGCTGCTTGGCCTGGGCTGCACGGTCAGGGTTTGTGTGTGTGTGTGTGTGTGTGTGTGTGTGTGTGTGTGTGTATCATTGACCCTGTCCTCTCTCTCCGTGGGGAGTGATATGCCGGGCTACTACTATTCTAAACTACTCTATGATCCCCACTCAGTATGAGACTACAATACATGCGCGATCTTTCAGCCTCGTTGGGGCCGGTAATGATCCCTTTGCACACTGGCGGGGCTCGTGACTTGTGTTACGAACCAGCCTGACCGCAGGCCGCATATGAACCCGTGACGACAGACCTGGTGAGAGTATGGAAGGTTTGGCGACACTATGTGTTATGGACTACGCGTCACGTGATGTGCTCCAACCGAAGGGGTGCTCTGGGGGCAGAGCACTCGCCAGGGCGAGAGCAGAGAAGGATGCTCTGGGATGCTCTGTGTGCTTTGTGAGCAGAGCACACAGATCATGCAGATCATTCAGGTATATATATATACATGGTCATTTCATAGCTTTACTACGTAGTCAACTTGGTTCACGATTATACCCATACGTTTTGGACTGTGATCACTTCGCTCAGAACTGTCGCTCATAGCTACCACGCTCTCAGGCCATACCTTGTACTCCCCACTTGTCAGGAAACCATACGTGCAGTAACACCTCTGGTGGAGCGAAACGTAACAACTTGAACCTTCCGGATGCTTCCGCAAATTCGAGCACTGCGTTGATGATTTTCCATTTGATCCCGCCACTGCCTACTCTACCTTGCTCGTTCCGAGGAGTTCCTTCGAGCATGCTTGCGGTGCACTCAAGTGTACCACCTACCTTAGCACGTAGTTCTTGTCTTGCTTCCCAGAGCCTCGGGCAGTCCATCAAGACGTGGACTACGGTTTCGATTGCTCCGCACGCGCAGCGGTCGTTATTGATGAGTTTGAATCGTCAGCCATGTGGCGCGAGCCAGAAGTGTGCAGTCCGCATCATGAGGTAGGTTCGATGTCGTGTGAGTTGACTCTAAAGGCGGAAGGCTCGCTTGGCCGGTAAGCCTTTGTCGGTTCTTTTTAAATGCTGATCTTAAGGGCTGGCTCTCCACTCTTCTTGCCATTCTCCTTGGATTTTTGTGCGTGCTGTTGTTCTGGCTGTTGATACGAGGCGATCAAAGTGGTGTTGCTTCTCAGACATAACTGCTTGCTTTGCGAGCCGGTCAGCTAATTCGTTTCACTTGTAAAAGTGATTCTTCAAGTGTATCATATTAATCTATGGGCTTCTAGGTACTTATACACTTATAGGCTTGGTCTGCCTATATAGGCACCCAAGCCATAGACTTCATAGTGGGCAGTATATGCCTAGTAGGCAGATACCCCACCCCATTATGTGCTGTTCAGAAATAACTGTTTCCTTCAATGCCTGCATGGCCTGGCATCCAGTGTAGCCAGACAAGAAATTATATAGTATTGCGCCCTATCTGCCTATCCAGATATACTCCTAGTTTTCCGCTCTCCTCGCTAGTCTACGCTTTCATAGAGTGAGGTGGACCAGACCTCTCTTCTACGTAGGTGACTCTCTATTTACTCCTTAAGCACACATCGACGGCCCTTAATGCTAGGCGATATCTCTTTATCACCAGACTCGTATATTTCTTGTATGTGTAGCCCCAAACTATCCCTTATAGATATGCAGTTCCATCGATACTTAACCCCTTTCGTCAGCTGTTTGGTTGCGGCTGTCAGGGGTCTTCTCTATCTCGTGTCTGATCGCGGCTACCATCGATTCCCTTCCTCTGCATTGGGTTGCGGTCGCCTGGCTTGCAGACAATCGCCTCTATCTGGGTTGGGTCGCGACTAGTCGGTAGTCCCCTTTATCGACTGTCAGGTTACAGCTCTTGACCTACATCGGGTTGTGATTAATCTGTTGATATAGCCTCGCTTTCACTCTAACTCGTAAGCGCCTTATACATGTTCCTCTAACTATTCAGCGATATGACTCAGGCCCCTAGTACGAATAAGGTAGACAGTGTCCGTTCTCTTTGTACACCAATATGCGCCTCTGTCCTCTTGAGCCATATAGATAGTCTTGTAGAGTTTCCTCAGCCATGGCTACCAATACACGCTACGCCTCGCGAGTCATATATTGATAGTATACACCTCGTTTCGCGTTACCCAGTACGGTCTCCCGTATCTAGGCCAACCATATCTTGCAGAGGGACTGTGGATGAACTCTAGCTAGTAGCTCTCTTTATATCGTGATCATTAAGCTTATATCTCTCTTTTTGTTGTATTTTCTTGCGATGATTTATCTCTTTTAGAAGACTATTCTCTTTCTTTTTATGCCTTTAGTGGCTTATTCTTAAAGTTTAACAAGACTATATATATCGCAAAGAATCGCCTAGAATAGAAGACATCAGAATTAACAGGACTATAAATAAACACTTTTTAGAGCTTCAGCCCCCCTTATATATATCGCATACAACGCGCAACTCAGAACGCTTGTAAGCTGGAGATGTCCTGTCTCTCCAGTAGGCAATACCATATCCGCAGGCTCTATAGGACTTGCTTCGGTTCCAAGTACGAACAGGATACTGTTGGATCGAGTGGATTTTAAATGCTGTCTCCCCCTTTTTTGTTGACACGCGTCGCGACACGTTGTTTCCTTGAAATTAAAGCTGCGGACTTATCTCAGTTCACCCTTTTCAGTGCTTAACACCGGACACCGCGTGAAGGTGTGAGTCCATCGTCTCGTGGGCATGTAGCCTACGCTCTGCGTGCTTGCAGAGGGCGCTTGCTACTGTAGAGGGGGCCGGGGGTTGTTGGAGATATGAGTGAAATAAGGGCCCCCCCACTTAGCTCGCAGGCCTGCTGAGCGATATGCACCCATTCTGCCGGCGTTTTGACACCACCCCGGATGCCGTTCCACGACGACGTCCATCGCCCTTTTGCGATCCCTTTCCACCAGCCGGCTCCACCTCTATATCTCGCCGCTTTTGACGATTGACGTACAACTTTCTGTCTCTCTTACACCAACATCCCGCACAGGATCCTGCACTCACGTCTCTCACGCGAATCTCACTCTCTGAGTGTCTTACAACACGATCTCAAAGGCATGCATTCGTGACCTCCAACCGATGTCGAAGAGCCTAAGACTGAGACTCGTGGAATTCTCTCAATTTCAAATTTCTGCAGTTTGCATGCTGTCCCTTCGTCAAAATTCCCCCGCTCAAATGAAGCCGGGAGCCAACTCGCTTCCCGCGACGTCCTGATGCTTCTCGCTGTTTGCCAATCGCTGTGCTAGCTGCGCGAGCCCTGGACGATATGGACGACGGAACCGCCCATATGCCGGTCTTAACTTCATCACTTCGTGCAATCCCTCCTGACTCTCTTTGATCTTCCTCCTTGTGCCCTCTAGCCACATGCCCTCGCCGAAAAGAAGTTGACCACCGTCAACCTGAGTTCCGGGGGGTCATACTCTAGTCATACTACCGATGATGTCTGCGCACTAGATGTCCTCGTCCGGAAATATGAGGAGACCTTATCGGAAACACGTCTTACGACGCTGTATACACCGAATACTATCTACCATGTTGATCTTATTCAGCGTCTCTTTGAGGAGTACATACTATGACCTGATAGATTTGTATGTCTATTAACTCTGCAAAGATACTATGGCAAGATCTAACTTAATCTAAAAATGAGTCTGCGCGAGTGCACCATGGCTCGAATAAAGAACTTTCTACATTGATTGCTCTAAACCTTCACCATCAGAAAACCAGTACACTAACGATATATTGGCGACAATTAAGATAGCTATACATTATGTGGATATAGCGTCGGATAGACCTGGCTGACATGAGACAAATCTTTATGGTACATAAAACAGACAATATTGTAAACTGTAGATAGCTGAATCTACATGAGTATTTATTGAAGTGCCATTAACGAAAGAATATAGTCTAGACAATAAGGAGATCAAGAAGCCTCTCATGGAGGCGGACGATTTCGTCGAGCTTATTCGTTACCACTGGGCCTCGGATATTAACGGGTTTCCCAATGAACGGCAACGACTCCAGTTGGCGGCTATTCTGTTGCTGGCGGATTTCACCGGGTCTCGACCTTAAGCCTCTGTTGGACTTGACCTATAGCGATCTAAACCTCTATATCGAGAAGAACGCCAAGAATTATGTCGACATGCTGCTGCTGGGGGTGAAATGGATAAAGACGAAGTTCTTTCAGAAGCGGAAACGACCTTGAATACCACTCCGTTGAGGAGTCCATGAGGCTAACGCGGCTATAAAGGAAGACGTATACATTCAATCTGGACAACAACCCAATCTTATACATTATCACTCTCGTTGTGAGCTTGACTTTCGATGACTCGGTATTTAGGCCACCCGCTCTTAAATCAACCGATATTTTATTATTTCGCTGCTGTATTGACGGCGCGATTCAAACACACAACTTTCGAAACCGATGGATGATGGAGAAGCTTTTCGAGAATGTGCGATCCTAGGGATCCCGTTGAGCCTGTCAAGATAACAGTCCAAAGTTTCTTTTCAACAACATCGGTTTTGTCAAAATGGTCTCTTCAGAGGTTTGGTACTCCGTACCATTTCTTAGAATCTCGAGAGGCCAGTCCCAGTCTTGTGTCCATCTGTCGATTAGCTGTTGAAGGCTCTTCCCGCGAGCTTGATCTTCGGCGCCACCTTGATCTGTTTTCCCTATATCAGGTGGCCCACTCGTAGGATAGTCCTGAATTATGTCGTTTAATGCTTCCGACAGGGATCCGATAGTTGGGTTGTTATAGATGATTTTTGAAGTTAAATCGGCGATTCGATCGAGCCTCATAGAACCCTTCACCGCTGCCTTTATAGGTCGGACCAGACGGACAACATGGAGTGAGTCCATTCCTTGCATGAACAGATCAGTCTCCTGGGAAGGATTGGTGGCCCAACCAGTTACATTTCCTATAAGGAGCTGCACAGAATTTTGGATTGATTCCCGGTCGCTGAGATCGACATTCTTTGGAACGTCACTGTGGTCAATGTTTCGCGCCTCTGTTTCTACCTGGCAATATAATGCTTCGATCTCTTCGAGATACAGGTCTGCTGTTGGCTTTCTTCTAACGCTGAGTTTTGGTGTGCGCAGAAATGGCTTCTCTGGCGACGAAAAAAGTGTCAAAGGCGCCGTGAGTTGTCCGTGCTTGGGAGCAGTCTTATTTGCGGCTTCGATCGTGGTCCAGATGGCGTTCAATAACTCGTTTTTCTCGGATTCATTGTTACGATCTATGCCTTTGACTTCCAAGAGTAGTGCCGGCTGGAATCTTCCCTGCCCAACGACCAACGCACCAGTAATGGCAGGATGTGCTTTTGCAATAAGTGACTCTGTGTCAACTGGATTCAGCTTTTCACCAGTTGACAGAACAATCACGTTGTCAGCCCGGCCGCAGGTGCGCCACAAACACGGCTTTTCGGGGTGCTGCACGTAGAGGTCTCTCGTTGCCCACTCGGTCAGGTGAGGAAAGAGCTCGAAGATAGGCTGTAATCCGGGAATATCAACGCCGATTTTCTTGATGTAAAGCTCGCAGAGGCTGCTGGAATCATCGATGGACCTCATGTCGATCCCACTCTAGATCTTCAAGTTCAAGCAGAGGAATCAGACCAACTTCGGAAGTACCCATGAAATGTGGGCAAGACTTTTGTCGCGTGAGTAAGGTGTCACCACAGTACTTGCTCAGGCGTCCAGAGCCAAATTGCACGAATTTAAGCGCGGCAAGAGTGTCGAAATATTCAGAAACACTCAGCATCTCCTCCATCAAGAAGGGGGGGATGACAGTGCCATCACACTTTCCGTGGCGGAGGATCCCACTGACGACTGCAGCACTCAGGGGAACTGCCGGAGGCTGAAACACCATCACAATGTCGTGATAGAGTGATTTCAGGAGACCTAGCAGGACTCCACCGGCCTAGGATACACGAAACCATTAGCAAAAGGATAACTTATCAAGGTAATAAGAACGAGTCTCAATGTGCAAGAGCGATCTAACGTGAAAAAGAGGCATGGCCAGAAACAATCTGCAATCACCATCAAATGGCTTGCGAGTGTGAATGTCCAGTCTGTCTTCTGTCGGGTAGTACTGTATGACGTCTTCACGGAAGCCGTATCCCTGAGTCAGAGGAATCAGTTGGGGCAAGCCAGTAGTGCTGTTCCATGGATTAGTCAGCCCTTAGTCTCGCAATGGAACAAATAAACACGGTTGTCAGGTAGGTGGCACCAGCACACACCTTGATGTATGAAGCATAACCAATGGGTCCCATCTCTTCGAGCGACCTGTTGTAGCCAAAAGCATGGGTCGGTTCATCTGTCAACAACTCAGCCACTCCCGGAGTAATGTTTAAAGTGTCGTCTAAACACTCTGTCTGACAACTAGTCATATTCAAGACTTGTGGAGGTCTATTTGCGACCAAGCCCTCCACCTTTGGTTTCATCTCGGCTGCAAAAAGCCATTTATGACATTCTGCCTCCTTCATAACAGCATATTGTACCTCATAGCTGTTTCTGGGCGAGAGGTATAGCATCTGCTTCCAGTTAGCATCGCGCAACTCGGTCCAAAGTCCTGTCTATATTGCTTCAGCTTACTTGAAAGCCTGCCTTAATTGCCGCTAGGGCAAAAATGATGTACCTGGTGTCGGGAGGGCCAAGGTATGCCAGAGGCTCAAATGCCCGAAGTCTGCCTGGCTCGAGGGTATTGTGCATCCAATATGCTGCCCTGTCGATGGCGTAGTTAAGCCGGCGGTACGATATATCTTCGTACCCAGCTCTAGTTATTTGAAGATTGACAGGTATTGAGCCCCAAATTTTATGTGGTTCTCTTGATGCCCGATCAGCGACCAGATTTGGTAGAAGCCTCGGCAAAGGGAGACTAGCAACTTCTGATTCGATTGTCGCCAATGGAAAAGCTTCTTTTGCCATGGTGTGAAGGTCCCGAAAGTCATATAAGAACGATGTCAATCGGATCAAGAACAGTCTGATTGTGGAAGTCCAGATCAGTGTAGAATTTCGACTCCGTGACTCTCGCTGTGGAAATATACTACAGGAAATGATTGAGAAGTGAAGCAACTTCATCTTGTGCCGAACAGCTTTCCGAATTAAATTTCCGGCAACAGGCTGTACAGTTAATCTTGAAAAATATGGAAAGACTTCGGGATGTACCCGGAATCCAGCGACAGAAGCTCTCGAGATAGAGACTCATACAGAACCGCTAGATTTGTATATTGAAAGGTGCACCAATCTAGGATTTGCAAGACAGAACAACCAAGGCTGGGGAAAACAATCAAAATATTCAGACAGCGCCTAGAGCACGAGAGGTAGAAGAGGAAGGAAACAACAATCCTCACCCCTACACTATGAAAAGGGCCCTACAGAGTCAGAAGCAGAAAGGAATCTACCTACCAAAGAGATCTAATCTAGACTTAGATACCTCAAAGGAATGGAAGAGATACCAGAAAAGCCTCGAGGCATACTACGCCATTAAGTGGAGGAAAAGATGGGTCTTAGGAACAAAAGGTAGGACAATTGCGAGGTACCGACCATATCCAATGCGCCAAGCACTAGAGATATGCAAGGAAAGGGCAAAACTAATGACCTCAATCCTCATACTTCTCAGGACCGAGAAAATAGGCTTGAGAGCCTTTCTACATGGTATGAATGTACCAACCATGGATAACCCCCGATGTGATTGCGGACAATGAGAGGAGACAGTTCAACATTTCCTCTTAGTGCACACAATGGGACAGACAGAGAGAGACCCTAAGACCCTACAGAAGAAAAACCCTCAAGGAAATCCTAGGATCAAGAGAAGGAAGCAAGAGAGCGGCAAGCAACCTTAGGTGCATTTCTTTTGTATTATCATTCTCGGAGATAGGTAGATTAGGATAGAGGAGGCAAGGGGTTAGTTAGTTACACCTACATAGACCGGCCATACGGTCTGCACTGGGTATAAGAATATAATATTATTATTACCCCGTATTTGGCGATAACATTCCGCACTGAATTAAACCACGCCTAAATCATGATAGCGTCTTCATAGAGAGCTCGCTGCGAGTCCTTCTTTCTGAGGTAATCTGAACGTAATTCGGAGCGTCAACGGATGAAGTTCATGGCCCAATTAATGCCGACAGTGGACGGCGTTATTGGCGTATCACGGACACGCTCAGTAAGCAATATATTCGCTTTCCTGCTAACGTCGCCCACCCTAGACGCATATCCGCGTGAATCCGTATCTAATATCCACCGTACTAGGACCTCTTGTTCTTGCTGAGTGAGCTTTCGAGTCATAGCAGGCGTACCACGCTGGGGAGCGCCGCCCTTGAGTCTACGCGTCAACGTCATGTGCGGGACATTGTACGCGCGCGCTGCGGCCCTGATACCAGTGATTTTGCCCTCTTGTATGGCTTTGATGGCCATAATAAGCCTCCCCTCTTGTTCTGAATGAATCGAGCTCATGGTGGTGGAGATATTGATTTTAAAGGATGAGTTAATGGGGGGTGATGGATTAGTGTACCACTAGCCAGCGTGTACCACTAGCTTGTGGATTACGTTAGTGATCTAGAGTCTTCTAGTTGAATGCTTTTGTGTTGGGTAAAGAATTTATATGGCTATACAGCCTGCTCACGGCGTCCTAAGCACAAGAACATAATAATTCGAAGTCTCAAGGCCTCTTCTTAGCCTATGTGCAAACTCATAGATTCATTTTCCATCAGGTACTGTTGCGTGATCCCCATGTTTCCTATCCGATTCTGGAGAGGACAATGAAGGTCGGATGTCGCTCGGGTATACACGCATCCGTGTTTTGCCGAAACTCGACCTCGACAATTCACGGATGTTCACGGTTCAGTAGCTATCCTAACCTCCAATACAACGCTTGGAGCTTTCGCAAGTGCATACTTTCCGACACTCGGATGCCTGAAATATCCGTAACATTAAGTTCCGCTCCTGGAGCAGAGTGATGGATGGATGTTTCATGCGTGCCAGGAAGATTTAGCTGCATACGTACTTGCGTGCCCGAGGTAGTGAAATCTGCATTGTTGAATACAAGAGCATCAACCACAACATCTCAATAGTCCAGTCACTCCAAGATGCCTATCTCGAAGCCATAATCGCTCCGCAACTTCAAACACATCATGTTGCCTGTTGCCATCGTAGGTGGCGGGCCAGTTGGGCTCGTCTCCTCCATCCTCCTCTCTATGCGCAAGATTCCACACCAAGTTTTTGAGCAGTTTCCAGGAACATCTATTCACCCAAAAGCGTGTGGTCTGAATCAACGGACCATCGAGATTTTCCGCCATATCGGAGTTGAAGAAGAAATTAAGAAGCACAGAGCCCCGCTAGAAATCGTTGGGCGAACTGGGTGGTTCACAGGAGTCGGACCACAAAGCCGGGAGATTTTCAGTAGAGATTCTTGGGGAGGAGGGAAATATGAAAATGAATATCTCCAGGCGAGCCCTGTGCAATATAGCACCCTGGCTCAGATTCGTCTAGAGCCCATCTTACAACAGCGAGCACTAGAACTCAATCCAGCTGGAATCCGGTATCAATCAAAGGTTACGAGCGTACGAGAGCAAAGAGATCATGTGAGTCTTGAGGTCGCCCGTAAGGATGGTCAGGCCGAAGAAGTTAAGGCAAAGTTTGTCATCGGAGCGGATGGTGGGAGGGGGCTCGCGGAGAGTTTAGGCATTGGTTGGAAAGGCGAACGCGATATCGTGGACATGGTCACAGCCCACTTTAAGGCTGATTTGACATCCATTCATCCCGACCCAAGGATATTCATATCGTGGTTGATAAACCCGAGGCTACAAGGCAGCCTTGGGGCAGGGTATCTGTACCACTTGGGGCCTTATTATCCTCAACGAGCGGCGAAGGAGGAATGGGTGCTGGCAGCACCTCGAAGCAGGAACGACCCTGTTGAGTTTGATAATGCCACCATGATTGATCGCATCAGATGCAGCCTCGAAATTCCGGACCTCGATGTCGATCTACTTAGCCTCAGTCAATGGACGGTCAACGCTAGAGTCACGGAAAGTTATCGCAGCAGGGGAGGGCGAGTGTTTCTTGCTGGCGATGCCTGTCACCGTGTACCACCTTGGGGAGCCCTGGGAATGAACAGTGGTGTGCAGGATGCATTCAATCTCATCTGGAAATTGGCTCTTGCTATCAAATCAAATACTTTGGCAGCGTATAGCGGTTTATTGGACACGTACGAAGAAGAGCGCAAACCAATAGCCGTCCGCGTCGCACAGAACAGTCTGAAGAACATGCGTAGTCACGCCAATGTCATGGATCACGCAGTGGGAATCAATGCGGATACAACAACCGAGCAGAACTTGTCAGCTCTTGCTGCTTACTTTGACCCTACTCATCCTGAAAATAGCGCAAAAAGGGAGGCTGTTCGAAAGGCAAGCGGCGAGCTCGACCATGAATTCCACGCTCCCGGGATCGAGATCGGGTGGTTCTATCCTTCAGCAGACATCAACAACGAAGGCGTGAAAACTCGGCACGGCGGGCAAATCAAGGAGGACGGCTCCTTCAACTCCACACAATATTGTCCATCTACCATTCCTGGTCACCATGTACCTCATGCGTGGCTTGTGAAAGGAGACAAAGTGGTTTCCACACGTGACCTAATCCAGCTTGATCGGTTTGTCCTGTTCACACAGACTTCGGGTGTCTGGGACAGAGCTGCAAACAACGACATCGCCGTTCACACTATCAATGGAGAGGCAGATAATTGGTCTGATCGAGATGGAACATGGGCAAGGCTGTGTGGGGTCGAGAAGGACGGTGCGGTACTTATGCGACCAGATGGTATTGTGGCTTGGAGAGCAGATTCTTTCAGCTCCAAGCTCTTGAACGAGCTTCCATCGATCATTGATCGTATCTTGAAAAGAGCTTGACCCTAGACAACGCCATTGGACATTCATCAAGAGTTAGCTTGTTTGGCTCATGAGCGAGCTGCCTCCTACTCACCTGCTCAGAGAGAATTCAAGGTGTAGAGAAATTTCTAAATCTTCATTTCAGAGGCAAGTCGAGGGTAGTGGGTATTACGCACCCAAGGGTTGGTATTACGCACCCATTTAATGCGGTTAGCGTCTATCTTGGCGCAACTTAAGCACGCCTAATTATTTTGTTCATGCCTAATCCTTAACTATAAGTGAAGTCGAGACAATTAAAACAACAAAATAGAGACAATCTCGTATCTCAATAATAGAAAGAGATGAACTAAAAGAAAGATAATCGGAACAGATAAATCTATAATTATAAAGTCTAATATTTAGATATTAATACTTAAAATCTGGATAGTGATACCTAAAATGTAGTGACTATACCTAAAATGTAGAAAATAATGCCTAAAATATAGGTGGTGATGCCTAAAAGTTAGGTAGTGAATAGGCGCGCCTTAGGGGAGGGAAACCGAAAATTATTCTTGATTGGGAAGGTCGCCCGAGTGGGTGCGTAATACCCATTACCCAAGTCGAGCCAGTATGTCACCTGTCCAAAAGCAGCTGATTGAAGTCCTGAGCCACTCCCGAGCCGAGACCCGTATTCCCGCCGGGCTCTTGTCTGTGGGCGTCGGACTTCCCCCACAGAGTCAAACCGTAACCTGCGACTCGATTGTAGTGTGGGGAGTGCCATTGCGCGAACCTGTTCAGTGTACTTGAAAACCGTATTTCTGGGTTTCTCGGCCGAGGTCCTAGGGACCGACGAACTCAAGGTTTAGTGCCGTCCAGTTACATACGAGCTTCGTCCTTGGCCGCTTATTGGAGATACTGCGGATCTCGAATTAGATATCGCGTGAAATATCGCTTCGATACAGCATGTTCCCATGCCAGTCCCTACAAGATATCTTCTATTGGCCCATTGACTAAGTTCTTTAGTTATTTATCTCAAAAGACCGAATCACTTACCAACTTTCTCGACTTCGTCAAAAACCGTCGAAGCATATATGGTCTCAGCTCAGTCACCCGTTCCGGACTCTGCAATCGAGGAGATAGTCAAGTTTGCAGTGCAATAGTGTCCTAGTGTATGGAATGTCTAGAGCGCAAGAGCTGTGGTTTTTTTCCGTGTCTCATCTGAAAATTTTGGACATCATCAGTCAGCGCATGGCGTCACAAGACCTCAATGAATATAATCCGGCGTATGTCTCGACCAAAATGGCCCAGTTCAAGGGTAGCTATGGCACTGTGAGTGGCAAGACTGACTATTGAGTCAGTGGTAATCTAGGTGCTAATCAATCTCGTTCAAAGTCTGGTGTTCGAAGACACAGGCCCCGTTGGATGTTCTGGGACCTAAATTCCTATTCATCTCGTTCACGCTTCCAAAGTGTGAGTTTAATAAGTATCATTCGTCCTATGTACCTTAAATCAAAGCTAGTGTCCCAAATATCCCCGGGGTGCGATCATTCTGCGGGTATACATTAACTTTTTGGTAAGTAAAGGTCTGTTAAATGCATTTTCCAATAGCTGATTGTATAGTCACTCAGCTTGGACAGCATTAGCAGCAGCGGCGCCTGGATCGAATCTCCAGCACTACAACAGCGAGCCAGAGGCAGAACCCTTCCGAAAAAAATTTTCATCACCACCGCAAGCAGATCTCGCCAATATAGACAATTATCGATACCGCGCTTAACTAATAACCGACGTTGAGGTATCTGAGGAAGAGATGTTCACAGCGTTAAGCAGAACAATCACTAAGTAAATTATCGAAACTGCTAGCGGCAAAAAAGATTATATAAGGTTCAATATGAGGAACCTCATTATAAGTCAGTAAAAAAGTCTATCTAAGGATAGTTCGCCTTACCAGTATATATAAGTTCCTTGTCTAAGCAAAGCCCACAATGTTAGAAATAAATAAAGAGATAACAGTTAAGCTTAAGGCGATTCAAGGTAGGTTTCAATATCCACAGACGCTCTGGAAACAGAACTGAAAGTCTAACCCCTGGATCTTCACGTGGAAAAGCTTGTTCTAGGAGCGGCAATTCGCTGCGCTCTCATAGAAGCCTAGAAGGGTATTGAGAAGAGAGTGGCTACCATACTTAAGGGTGGAGGCATCAGGGAGAGGACCCCGACGCATTAGGGCCCTCTCCAAAATATCGAAGCCTGGATCACTAGTATCTCGTTAACGCCACTACAGAGGCTGAATAACTCGGGTCAGACAGTGGTAGAGGTATAGAAAGAGGCCAGAAAAGCAATTTATACAGCGGCGCAGACCCAGCATGCCAAAGCCTGCAGGTTCCAACCCTTTGTATACTGCTAGCTCAGTACAGTGCATGTGAGGTGGAAGACCCTCACGAAGGTACATTGATATAAAGGACAGGATTAGAAGTTTAGGCGTTGGGGTTTAGGGAAGGGAGGGAGTTCCAACAGTTGGCTGGTGTCCGCATGAGACCTGAAAAGGACTCGGGTGACGTTATATAGACACATAAATAAAATGGCGGGTTCACGGATATACTGATGCATTGTATTTAAATATATAGTCTATGGAGGGAAATTTGCGGAGTATAAAGGAATGCGTCCCTGAAGCTCTTTTATTGGGCCGAGATCTTCGAAGAAAAGGATCTTTCGAGAGTTAAAGTAATGATACGAAAGACGGTACCATTTCCGTCGAGACGACGGAAATGGACTGAAGAACAAATGTAGAACTATCGAGGAGGACTGTGCTTACAGTTCCATATACATCTCGAAGCCCCTGGATTTTCTTTATTGTTGGTTCGAAATTATCGCGAGGCACTATGCCCTCAAGAACTTCAGGGGCCATTTGCCAAAGATTTCGTGATGCAACTTCAAGAGAACGACTAGGCGAGCCGTCTGAGAGTTGAAAGAGCTTGGACAATGGAGAATCGTCAATTTGACGGTCTCCAGAATGGTTTGAGGAATCTCGGCCAAGCTCTAATAGCTGCGGCGAGATTTGACAACTTCCAGAAATTGATGTGCTAGACTGGAGTGGTTTCGGAGGGGTTTGGCGAGCTTTGAAGACAAATGCACACCCGTGATGAGGAAGAGGAAACTTTTGGCATTGATGTCGGATGTATAATAATTGACCAAGGATTGAACGGCCTGACCTTTTTGCTTGTATTACTGGATATCTGTATCGTTTTCCCCATGAAAAATGCGCTGCGAGTAAGTTGTTGCAGTTGGCATAATCGAGCTTCGTATCTCAAACTCTCGCTTTCTGCCCATGTAGAATGGATAAGAAACATTGAATGGGCCTCTTCTCGGCGACTCATTAGTATCTTAAACTTCGTTTAAGAGACTGAACAGCAGTGCGGACATATTTCGAACCGTGAAGGACGCTTGACTCCGCAAGCTCGGGTATTACAACCCGAAGAAGTTCCGGAGGAATTATATCATTGTTCGGCGGCAAGATCTGCTCGGTCCTAACGCGGAAGAAGAGTCTGCTCGTTGTCGCCAAACTCAAACATGTTGGCCAACGCGGGATCGAATTGATATGCCAACCAGTCATCCCAGTCGATAGGAAATGGATCATCAAATAGATTGAGACGCTCTTTGTGATGCGAATCAAAATCCTTATCCATATGCTCAGTGGCGTTTGAGAAGCCATCAGGCCTTGAATGAGTTGATTCATGCGAGGATATGCAGCGGATCTTTGATATTTCGACAAGGTGCTCGAGGAGCTGGGCATAATACTTTGCAAGATGTAGATCATCAACGGAACAACTTCGTAAAGCGACGATCGCTCCAATCAAAGAAGAAAGCAGTTTGTCAGCTGCAAATCTAGTTATCAAGAGTACCTGTGAGGGACAGTTAGTTGACGGTGGACAAATATGATTGTAACTTCTGACTTTTAGCCCAAACATGCAGACTGTGACAATACGAAGCAGTAGAGGCGCTGTGATTGCTCTCAGAGCTTCCATTTCGTGAAGTTCAGCAACAACATCGTAAACAGTGCAGCAACTGGTCGAAATCTAGAGAACGAGTGTGGTTTAGCAAGAGTTTGGGTGGTAGATCGACAAGCGCAAGGATCTAGAATACCTCCTGTGACCATGTTCGCAAATCCGGACTCAGCTCATGCTGGACGCCAAGTTGCCGAGATATAGATGCAGAGTCTTGCTTAGATTGAGATTGTAGAATGGTGGCTTGTATCAGTATCCTTAAATACTGATACTCCACTTCCATATTGCACCGGAAAGCTTTGGGCACTGCCATGAATTAGTCCAGTACAGGCAGGTGGGTGCAAGGGATATGAAGATACTGGTCAGAGTCTCAAAGTTCTCCCACCACTGAGAAAGGGCCTGAGTAAAATGCCGGACCATAGTCAGAGACTTTCCCTCATTTGTCGCCTTAGTCGTGCTTTGGGAAGGATTGCAGAAAACCTGACTCGCCACTTGACCCAGCTCCACTAGATCTAACCACCCATTGAGGACCGGCTGCCAGTCAGGCTGGTGGCGTACCGAGCTTCTTGCTATGGCTGCGTTGATTTCCTCTTTCAGATCTGGGATGGATACAGCTGCCAAAGGATTAGGGCGCTTTAGTCGACCGACTAGATGTGACGTATAAATGTACAAGATCTGCTGTATGTGAGGCAATCGAGATGGTTGGTTCTGACATATTTCAAGCACTTCCCGCTTCCTCTGTCGCTTGTCATATAAACCGTTCTCCGCAGCCACTGTCGCTGCAAGATTGATGAGACGCCTGCTTGGCTCTAAGTATTTGTAATCCCTGTAGGCGTGAATCATAGCTTACCAGCACATAGTATCAGTACGAAGTGCCATGGTTGTTGCTGCGCTCTTTTCAAAATCTGTCAATACTCAGCTTGATCCGGAAGCGTGTGAAGTAGAGCCAGAGCCTACCTTCCTGACTCTCATGTGATCCTGAGCCGGATTCAGGAAGCGCCATTCCTGACCGTGATAGATCGAAGGAAGAGAGCTGCAAGTGTAGACTGCGGGGTTGCTGCTGCTAGTAAATACCAAATTGCTCGAAGTGGTCAGTCGGGAACATCCTACCCATTGTGTAAGGAGTATAAGGGATTCTATGGCTCCCACGGCAGAGATACCGCTTCGTTGACCTAAAGGTAAACCCCACAGCAAGCTTTGTATGCCTTCCTGGACATATTTGAAGAAGTGGTCGTGGAGAAGATAGCCTCGAGACCGTCCATTGTGTCCCGGGAGTACCAGAAGTCTGGAGGAGATTGTGAGTATTGAGTAACAAAGAATTGACTCTTCTCGCATGAGCACCTCATGGTGAGACTTGTTGTGAAACCAGTCGCTAATGATTGGCATCTGCTTATTTAGAACGACGAAGAAGCTGGAGGCATGTTAGCAAGCCCCAAACTTGTCAGTCAGCTTCAACGCACTATTCAATGTACATTAGGACCTCCTGCGGGCTTACTATCCTTTGTATACATGGAGGAAAGCGTGCCCAGAGCCTGATTTGGTCGTCCTGTAAAACAGGCAGCACCTTGAACATTTCCCGCCAAGAAGCCGTATCAGGGTGTGTCGCGTTAACAACTGTGGCATGAGTATGTCGACTCGCTAACATGTCCGGAACATCTGTGTATAGGTATTGACCTTCGCGAATAACTGGTTGGCGATCTCGAGGAGTACGTTGAGAAGTGGCATCGAAAAGTAAGTGGAGAGCGTCAGTGTCATCATGCAGCGCGGTCTCAACTATCCCCTGAGTGGTAGCGTCACGTTCCCTATCAGTGATCGATCTTAGAGAGTCAAAATCTGTCTGCGTTTGACTGGAATTGTCTGCAGGCCGTTGAGATGATGCTGGAATTGAAGTTTGGGCCAGTTGTATCGAGGTAGTGTCGCTGAATGAAGCCTCATGAAGCACCATTTCGCTGTCTATCCGTGATTGACTGGCAGTTTCGCAGTCTTCGGCCATACTATGGAGTGAACCATATGTCCACCCTGTTCCAGTATTGATATAATTCTTTCCACTTTATGGTGCCGATTGAGTAGACTTACGCGATCGAGATTGATTGTGTTCCGATCTCCCTCCTGATCCAGAGACGAAGACACATTTCTTGTTTTCTCTCTTACACTTGGCACATGGAGGCTGAGGATCTCTCAAGTCGCCTAGGTCGCAACGTATTTTCTTCCTCCGGCAAAGGTCACATGCTCGGTAATTCCTTCGGTAATTCCTTCGGTAAGGCTCTGACTGGGGGACATCTTGCTGGCCACTAATGGAATCGAGACCGACCCGCCTGTGGTTCATTTTGTCGAGATCGCATAGCCAGGTAGAGGGTGTCGGCAAGGAAAGCAAACAACGTTTGTGGTTTTCCGCAGATCAAGTCGGCGGTGTTGAGAAGATTGATTCCGTAGGTATTGGCGTTGAACCACGCCGCTTATGAAGTTCATCTTCATTTCGCTTGGCATTTGAAACCACGTGACGTTATGGCCTTTTACCGAGGATTCTGCGGCAACAAATTCAACTAACTACTGCAAGTCAGGGTATCCAATGTGAAGAAAATGGCTCTGGCTATTCCGTATAAGGCAATCAGATCCAAGTCCACAGGTATGCAGATATTTCCTTTGACTTACTGACTCTGGTTGTCCGCAAGATCCTGTTTTGGACAATCTGCAAAATTCAACTGAGCCGATTCACTTGGGCTGACGTGGACCACTGTCCGTCGTAAACCCTGTGGGGTTTGCCCCTTCAGCAAAGTCAATCAAGTACATCGCTGATGACAAAACCTTTTCTCAATAACATCCGAACCATCTCACCTTAAAGACATGAGTGCCGGGCCAATCGGTCACATGGGAATCCCTCCGGGGAGCGAATGGCCAGAGCGAATGAAATTGAGAGCGAATGCCAAGTGTGCCAAAGTCAATAGCCTCGCACAACAAAAATGGCTGTAGCTACACCAAAGTTTATTGTACTGCATTATCGCTCATCGTTTCATGAACTTACAGCCGACTCAATTATCCGACTGGTATAATGTACTTCCCGCCTTCGCTAGACACCCGGCTTGGCTAGACATTTTGAACCCCCTATCAGGACCTTCACTGTAAATAGCCCTGTGATAAACTAGTCAAATAGCCGATGCAATGAAAAGCGAAGAAGTCGTCCCTATGTAATTCGGGAGGGGAAAGCCTCTTGTACTTTCCCTCCTCGGAAGTGTACTTCCAGCTATGCTAGGTGGTGCGCTTCCTTACCTCGTCCTTTGCTCACTGAGTCGCTAGATATAACCGTTCCCGGCGAGATCTAGGCGTCTCAAGACACCCCCAACCCCACCAACCTGCCATTTTTACGACAATGAAGTCGAAATAACTCTGATATAGAACGTTTTCGGCGTTTTCACGGCCTCTGGCACGTCCTGGCGTTATGTCCTGGCACATTAAACTGTCTACAGTGCCTCTGATTGGGTGTTTGGCCACCGATATGGTGCCGCCGTCCGAACACCTCACTATCTCCTCCACAACTAGCGCCGTCCCCAGGGCTTGTTCGGCCGTCAGGATACCCTTATTTCGTATACATTTCCTCTTACGGCCCCCACCGCCGTCAACTCTTTCACTGTTCTGCATATTCAAGCAAGTTCTTACTCCGCAATTGCCAGTTTGTGAGTGTATTTTGTCGCCGCTCAAACCACCTTCTGTACGGCTATACTAGTTGGACTTGAGCTCGTGATGCACTTAGGATTGCTTTTGTGGATCGTTCTGGACGCTTTTAGCAATGTCGATATATCAACCGGCGTCTGTGGAAGCCAGCTATTGTCTAGTTCTTGGCTAGTCGAGAGCGAGGGTGTGTTGAAAATATCCCAATATCATTGATAATTGGGCCCAACTTGACTATCACAACGTCCTGATCAAATGGCACCAATCCTGTGGCCACAAAGGCGCTCCTGATGTTTGATTCTTTGATTTCAATTGGCCTAACAACGTGGTAATGGTGTAGAAAATGGTTCTTCATAATGTGGTGGACACCGAGAACGGTATGCTTCAGGAGTTAGTTCCTATACGTCGTTTTTGAAGGTGAACAGCAAGCAATATCTAGTGGCTGTAAAGTATGAGATAAACGAGCTAGTATATAGAGCAAAACGATATTGTTTAGCTTCACGAAGTGATAGAAATCCAGCAGAGGACCTATTGTGGTGGCCAAAAAGCCAACATGCCGCATGCTCGTTGCAACCAGCTCGTGTTATGCAATGCTCAGTTCTAGGCGTTGTTTGGGGTCAAATGGGATGTGTTGGACTAGGCTGAGTTGCGGGCGATGTCAGTCACCGTCTTTACAAGTCAAATACTCACGCCTACCGCCTTAGCGCCTCCGGCGGAACGCCGACGCCCTCACGTTCCTTACAACTTTTGCAACACCATCAATTCACTGTTTCTAGTCATATATGACTATATTCTTGGCCTTCACAAGGAGGGCTTCTCTCCGTCTAGAACGTCGCCCGATAGAACGCCGCCCGATGGCGGCGGATGACTCCAAGCGGTGCGTTGTGCGACGGCGAGAAAGCCCTCCCTCGCAACGCTCCTTTCGCCTATATAATAGATAGGGATCTCCCTCCGAGAGAGGGAGGTCAGACTCGTCAATACATCCTATTTAGCCCCTAGACATCACTTAGAACTGAGCGTTGCATAACAGGATGTATTGACGAGTATGACCCCCTCAACTCGGAGGCCGGGTCCTATGTGATATATGGGGCAAAATGAGTGAAAATTTCTCTCCTCCCGAAGGTTCTTTCTCTCCGCCGCATCGGGGGGTGCCTAGAGGGTATGGGCGGGATCCGCCGGGGTCCTGGGTTCACCTGGCGATATGCGGAAGGAGAAGAGAGGAATGAAGCCTGGGATATAGAATGATATAGTGAGAAAGGAGCGAATTGATGGTGTTTCAAAAGTTGCGATTCTTCCAAAGGAGCGTCGGGGCGTCGGCGTTAGCCGTGGGCGGTAGGCGTGAGTATCACAAGTTGTAGAGACGGACATCGGACACGCCCGGAACTCAGTCTGTTCAACTTCTGCATATCAGCATATTGAACAGACTCGTACTTTATACGTAAAAGTACATCGATCTTCTTTGTTCGACGATCACTGCACGCAATTACAGCACCCATCTTCTTATCCTTCGGAAGCTGGAGGCTCACGATTTTTCTCCCACCCACGGCTTAGGATCTTAGCAAAATCCGACGGCGCTGGCAAAAACATCCGACACCTTGAGCCGAGCTCCTCTCCTTGATTCTCGGGGTATGGACCCATGATTCGTAGCAGCAATGTGCATAGTCACCTCAAGAGGAACAAGCACAGTCACGTTTGCGGTTGCCGCCAACGCATCGTTCCGACTTTCACTGTTGTGCTTGGATCCGCATAAGCCTGTGCCGCTTCCTTGTTTGAAGTGTCGACTAATGATCACGTGGTTTCCGTATCCCGCTCTCTGTCCGGGCTTGCCGGAGCGCATCCGAACTGGGACTGACCCTACGACCATCCTCCGCCACCTAAAGTCTGACTATGCTTTGCTGCAGATGGCAGTGATGCCTGAGGCCACATATCGATACGATTTCCCATATCAATCAGAGTTTCCAGAGTCGCTAACAACAGACAAACATTACCTGGACACGTTGATCCACGAGGCAACGACATCATCCTTGAGATCTCGGAGTAGGGATGCTGCGAAGCACCATGTCTCCCGTGCGGGTGGTAAGCGCCATCATGTTCAACACCTCAGCCCCTATCTCCAACCATTTTATGCAGCACAAGTTGTGGAGAGAGACTCTCTGACGTGAAACTCTCGTCCTGGACAACCCTGTGCAGCGACAACATGCTTATGCGGAACCTTCTGCAGACGGTTTTCCGCTGTGAGTACCAATTCACTGCGGCATTCCAGAGAGATCTTTTCTTCGAGGACATGGCAACAAATCGACAAGACTTTGTTCTCCGCTGCTTGTCAACATTGTGCTCGCATATGCCTGTGTATGTACGCCCCTATGCTCGTCAGATCAGCTTGATGACCTCTTTCTAGGTTTGTAGTCTTGGCGTCACCCATGTGGAACAGTCCCAAATTCACATTCATTGCCATATCCTCCCACGCTGCAGCTGACTTTGCTTCCCACGCGCCTTGTCGCGTTGTCAAGGCAACCCGCCTGTACATCTTCCGAACGCAACAATGCCAGCTTTTGCCATCGCATAGGAGTTGATAATGCTACTACCAACGAGAAAAGTGCGGCGGAGGGATTCTGCCACGATCGAGGAGGCCCAGAATGCCTCGGAGACTCCAAGATTGTTGTTAGCTAGACAAGGTCTGGTCAAGGCGGTACCGGACAAAGCCTGGGGAGAGACAGAGGCATCTACGACTGTTTCTAGCATCCATGTTTCCAGGAAGGGAAGGATTTGTTCTGCGCGCTGGCGCAGACCAATATCACCGTCAAAGGGGGCGACAAAGTGGTAAGCAATTGAAGCGTGGAGACGGGCCAAACCGAAAGCGATGCGAAGGATCGCTGGGCAAGTGCCGGCCGGGTCTGTTTCTACCTGGGGTATATCGAGTTAGACAAGCTCGCTGATCCGTGCCTCGAGGATTTGGAATACGAACTGCTCGTTCTCCGGTGTTCGGTGGAGATACGCTGAGAGCATCGTGTATGCGTCCTGGATGCACACCGGGTAATGGTATTGGTAAAGCTTGGCGTGGATGAATGGGTTAGCCCCTGTGCTGACCCACGGGATGATCCATCGACGAATATGATCAATGTGCTGTTTGATTCGTGGGCCAGTATACAAGAAGGATTCTTGTGGCCACGGTGTAAGGCACCACGTAGAAGGGAGAGCGAACCACATGATGGGAGAATTTGTGTCTTCGAAAGGAGAAAGGCTTAAACAGATACGGTTGCGCGGGTCAAGACGGCGCTGGATGGTCTAGAGGCCTGAATTTGCCAGCATTACAAATATGCTAGTCATACACGACGTACAGCTGGGAAATCCAAGGAGCATTGCTTAGGTAGGGTAGAACTTGTGGTTTATAAGAGATCACCGGACTACAACCCAGTCTCGAATGGTAACAGTGAGATATCCAGAAACTCGTCAAAGATGCGGCCAAAGTCTTCAGGTGTCAATGGTGGCTTCGCCCCGCCTAGATTCATCCACGAGGAGCCATTGGCTAGGGTGAGTTCTAGTCTCGGACTGAACGATGCTGGAAACGGGAAAAGTCGCGGCAAATCATGCATATCGAAGACAGTGCAGTCTGTGTGTCGCTCGTCTGGTGAAGCGAGCGAACCTGATCGAATTCTCACCGGGGTAGAAGAAGCACGCAATCGGTTAATCGTACTGAGCACCGAAACACCCCCAGCAAAGTTGATCTGTATGCGCTCAAGTGTCCTCACAATAATGTCGAGCTCCTGAGTATATATATCACCTTGATGAGAAGTGATAATATAACGTAACTAGGGGACTGCTGTCATCATTATGTATTAAGTGTTGACATCGAGAGAAAGTTTATATTGTCTCGTATATATATCTCGTGGTATAAATGTATCATACAAGACAAGGCGACTAAGGTTCCAAGATTATTGGCAGAAAAGTGCCTTGTATCCTTAAACAGATTTAAGTAGGTGATCATAACGATAAAGTATATTATGTATACTTTTGAAGCGTCTCGATGATAGATTCTATGGTTTGAACTATCGTATAATCGAGCTTTATCTAGAAGATTATCTAGTCATGATTTGAGAGATTTAATAATAAGGTAGCTCTGTTTATAGATAAGTGATAGGGCATTGTGAATTACGAGTAGTATAGACACTTAGGTTACTGTGAGAATCAAGTCTTAAATTAGGTCGCGGTTGGACAATATATCTCTTGACGATTTATAGAATGTCTGGTATATAGGTTTAGTATTCGTCTTAGTATAGTCGCTAGCTTAGCGAGTTCCACAAACAAGACTACTAAATGGGTGATAACCTTAAAATCGTCGACCATGAGAAGCGTCACATTAAACTCGTGCAATTTAATTGCTATCAGGCGGTCTATGGTGTGAAGAATATAAAAATATAAGGCTAGTCTGTGAGTCAGAAAGAGGATTAATAATAGACTTAGGTCTATTATAAATCAGGGTTTCTAAGGAGTTCTATGGGTTTTTATTATTTGCCACCTAAGTGGAGACTTTGCCACCTAGGTGGATACTTAATTTATAAGCTAGTTGCCACCTTTATAGTATATAAGGGGCGTTCTCTCCTTAGTAGATAGAAAATAACCAAGTCAGTTAAGCATGCAATATATTCAGTCACCCCCTTGTCTCAACATATAGTCGCCAATAGAAGTTGATCTTATATCTAAAATCACCAGTTATAGAGTATATTATTACGTTTCGCTCCACCGGAGATGTCACTGTACATATGGTTTCTTGATAAGTGAGAAGTATAGATGGCGAGGTCGCTAAGAACGAAGTACTTGAGCGAGTACTAGAGCGAAGTGATCACAGCCAAAATATATAGGTATAATCGTGAACGAAGTTGACTATATAGTAAGCCTATATAATGACTGTGTATATATATATAGCTGGTGTTGTGCTATATTATTGTAGTGTTATTATGCTGCTTATCATAGCACTTTAGCACTATAGCATAACACCTTTTTTTCTATCCTAAAAGTTATATACACTAGCCCCCAAGTAAGGCTACCTTTATTTAACTTGCCTCTTTCACTATCCTGTAGTTATAGGTTAATTATACGGCCTATGGGCAGACTAACTTATAATACTTTCTCCCTTCTAGACCTATTCATTATCCGCAATATATATAAAGTAAACACTCCTCCTTAAGTTCTTTTTCTGTTCTTTCTGCATGGCTAACCATGCAGGCTTTCCATATTAGAAAATCATCTTGTGGAAAACCAAAATCTTCTAAACCTTCTATCCTCTAATTTGCTCATCAGCACTAGCTTGTCAATTCTATATCTATCCCCAAGAATATAGCCATAATTGCCTGCTTCTAGTATATAGCTCATGAGGCTATATATTATTATAATCACGCGTAGTCAGTGAAATATATTGAGTGTATTTGTCACCAGCGAGATTATAACGAAACCTTCACTCTAGCCGAATTTTATAAGGTTAGTGAAGAGAAAAAGGCCTTTCAGTGTAAGTCTCGTGAATACTAGTGATATATTCTTCACTTATATACCACAATAATCAAGATATATAAAGAGTTACTAAAGATAATAAGTAAAATATTTAAGGCCAAGAAGAATTTAGTCTCTATAGAGTTTAACTTAATTAAGAGTGAGAAGTCATTAGTAAAGTTAAAGAAAAAGTTTAATATTATACTACAGCATAAAATATATACTCTAAGTATATTAAATAATCTCTTTAAGAATAATAAAGTAACTCTAGATAATCCTGACTTCGCCTAAGCTAAGGTCTCTATCTTTAAGTTCATTAATTAGAAAGTTATTTAATTAAATAATACTCGGTTACTATCTATCGAGTAAGGTTCTTCTTAGGTTTCTATAAATTCTCTTTCTCGCTATATTCTAACTATTTAATTAGATAGTGTATTTTTTCTTTAACTAATCTATGGTCTCGAATTTCTTCGATATTATATATTAATTATTAAGTTTCTTTATATATTAGCACTAGTCTTGATTTAATATTTAATGATACTTTCTTAAGAAGTGATTTATAAAAAACTGAATAAATATTTATTTCTCTAAATAGTTTTAATTCAAAGTTCATTAATTTAAGCTTTCTTCTAATTTTATAAGGTTTAATCTTAATATGATTTAACTTATTAGATAGTTATTATATTTTAATGTTTTTTCTAAGAAGATAGATTACTTTCTCTTCTTTGAAGTTTAATCTCTTAGATCTTTATTTATTTAAGTTTTTAACTATTTTTTATGATATTTTCTTAAGCTCTTTTTTAATAGTTTATATAATGATTATAATTTCTTAATTAAGATTGCTACCTTTTTTATAATTAGTTTAATACTCTTTATATCTTTATTTATTTTTAGATAGAATTTATAATTTATATAGAATAGTGATATTTCTATTACTATTGCTTTGTTATTAAATATAAACTATATAATGAATAGTAATTATATCTAATTATTTTACTAAAAATTAATATAATATTATAAATATTGTTTTAGTGTCTAATTTATTCTCTTTATTTATTTATCACTCTATAGATAAAATATTATTAATAGTTTTTAGTGAACTTATATAAGGTTTATTAATAATTACTAAAACTATAATATAAATAGCTTGTCTCGATTCGAGTGTATTTCTTCTGATATTTTGTGTCGACTAAAGATATTTTTATATAGTGTATATATTAAGTCTTTTACTGTTAATAATTCTTTATATAGAATAAATTCTGCGTATTTAGTTAGGATATTATTTACTATAAATATATTATCGAATTTTATATCTATAAGGGGTTCTCTAGACTTTAGTAGCTTTATAATAAAATCTAATATAATGATGTACTATGCTTCTCCTAGTATTGTTAGTGTTTAGAGTAATCTATAGAGTTTATGTTTTATATATTTTGCTTTATGATAAGTGTTATAATTCTTAATATATTTTATTATATCTTTCTTAACTCCCTTCTAGATAAAGTCTCTCGTGACTAGTTTAAGCGTTTTCTCGATACCTAGGTGTTTTGCTAACTTGTTATCGTGTTGTCCTTTGATGATTTTTTTCTTTTGTTCTCTTGTTAACTCGATATCGATAAGAGTTAGTATCTCTATCTTAGATATTATATATATTAAGACGCTATCTTTCTTCTTAAGCACTATTATGAGCTTCAGTTTAATGTTTTCCATGTAATTTGGCTGTCTACTGAGCGCGTCTATTATAATATTTTCTTTTCCTCGAATATAGTGTATCTTGAAGTTATATAATGTTAATATTTCTGTCTATCGAACCTATCTATGATTAAGTTTCTTTATAGTTATTCAGTACAATAAATTCTTATGATCAGTATAGATCTAAACTTAGTACTTAGTATCTTTAAGATATACTCTTTATTTCTTAAGATATATCACTATAGTGAGTAACTCTTTATTGTGGATATTATAGTTCAGTTTTGGCCCTATCATTCTTTTTGAGAAGTATATAATTATTTAAATCTTATTGTCTAGCCCTTTTTATGTGAGGCGAGCTCTAATTACTTTATTTAATGCGTCTATTTTTACTTAACACTTTAGCTTAGGATTAAATATTGTAAGTATCGATATTATTATGATAGCTTCTTTAAGGCGTTTAAACACTCTCTTGTATTTTAGTTCGAATTCGAATAAGATATCCTTCTTGATAAGGTTTATTAAAGGCGCTATAATCTTCAAAAATTCTTCAATAAATCTTCAATAGTAATTAAGTAGTTCAATAAAAGACTATACTTTCGTGATATTTTTTGGTTCTAGCTAGTCCTTGATTAGCGCTATTTTATCAAGATTCACTTTAATATCTTTGTTAAATATAATGTGATCTAAAAATTAGATTCGTTTTTTATAAAACTTATATTTACTGAGTTTTAAGGGTAAGTTCTTTTCTTAAAGTTTTCTTAGAATCTTTTAAATATACTGTATATATTCTTTATATATCTTTAAGAATATAAGTATATTATCTAAGTATATAACTATAAAGTTATTAAGATATTTTTATAGTGTATTATTAATTAGTTTCTAGAAAGATACTAAAGTATTAATTAATTTAAACAGTATAATATAATATTTATATAGCCTAAAACTAGTTCTAAAAGCTGTTATCTATTTATGGTTTTTCTTTATTTATACTTGATAATAGATGTTCTGTATATTAAGTGTGATGAAGTATTTTGCACTAAGGAGTTTATTTTGTAGTTCCTTAATTAAGAGTAGTGAGTATCGATTTTTTCTGGTGATTATATTAAGTGGTCGAAAGTTAATATATAGTTAAAGAGATTTATTCTTTTTTGAGACGAAAAGCACACTATATACTATGAATAACTTAAATAATTAAATAAAGTCTTTCTTTAAGTAAGTCTCTATATATTTCTTAAGGAAGTCTTTCTTCTTCTTAAATAGTTATTAAAGTCACTCGCTATACTTTAGTACTTTTTCTTCTTTAAGTGTAATTTTATGATCTTATAGCTTATGCTTTAGTAGTGCTATTATGCTTTCTCTTTCTTTAAAAGTGTTTATGAAATTCTTATATTCCTTAAGTAGGCTTTTCTCTCGTATT